ATGTCACATACGGTTAGCTGCGGAATCACCAACTGGCAGACAATTGTAAAGAAAAAAACGCTCGGCACTTATGTAGAGTTGCTTTATTTCCTGCTTGTTTTGGCTTCATAACACGCCACACAAAAATCAAATGGGGAAAAAGGTCTTAAGCAACCCTTGTTTTTATGAACTCCACCTAAGACAGGGGTGGGCAAACTTTTTGGCCCGAGGGCCACATCTGGGTGGGGAAAGTGTATGCAGGGCCATGAATGTAGGGCTGAGACAGGGGGTTGGGGTGCAGGATGTGGGAGGGGGTTGCAGTGTACAGGAAGGGGATCAGGGCAAGGGATTAGGGTGAAGGACGGGTGCGGGGTGCAGGAGAGGGCTCAGGGCAGGGGGTTGGGGTTGTGGGGTCCAGAAGGGGCTTGGGGTGCAGGCTCTGGCCCGGCATTGCTTACCTCGAGTGGCTCCGGGGTGGCAGCAACGCGCAGCGGGGCTAAGGCAGGCTCCCTGCCTGCACTGGCCTCGCGCCGCTCCTGGAAGCGGCCGGCATGTCCAGCAGTGGCTCCTGTGAGTGGGGTGTGGCAGGCGGCTCCGTGCGCACTGCCCTCGCCTGCGGGTATCACTCCCGACGTTCCAATTGGCTGCAGTTCCCTGTTGCCGGCCAATGAGAGCTGTGGGGGGCAGTGCCTGCAGGTGAGGGCAGCGCACGGAGCCCTCTGCACCCCCTCCCTCAGGGGATGCAGGGACATGGTGCCGGCCGCTTCCGGGAGCAGCGCGGGGGCTAGGGAGCCTGCCTTATCCCCGCAGCGCCATGGGGCTGGCAATCCTGCGGGCCAGATTGAAAGCCCTGCCGGGCCGGATCTGGCCCACGAGCCGTAGTTTGCTCTCCCCAACCTAAGAGTTAGGCCTTGGCTACACTGGCGCTGTACAGCGCTGCAACTTGCTGCGCTCAGGGGTGTGAAAACGCCCCTCCCGAGCGCAGCGAGTACAGCGCTGTAAAGCGCCTGTGTAATCAGAGCCTGCAGCGCTGCACGCTCGCTCGCAGCGCTGCAAGCTATTCCCCTCGGAGAGGTGGAGTACTTACAGCGCTGTGAGAGAGCTCTCGCAGCGCTGGCGGCGCGACTACACTCGCGCTTCACAGCGCTGCCGCAGCAGCGCTGGAAAGTCCTGAGTGTAGCCAAGGCCTTAGCTAGTGAGAGCGCTGACTAACTTGTATTCTAGTTCAGCCACTGAGATAAAACAGAGCTTGCCGAGGACTTCTGAAGCCGCTTCAACAATAAGTTTGGTTGGTTTCAAAGGGAAAGGAAATCCAGCAGTGCAGAGTCCACGTCACCAGAAAATCTGGTCCTGCCCAATACTATGAGGTCACAAGCACTCTCATCTGCCATTTCAAGGCAGTGTTCTTACATTATACAGGTGTGAATGTCTCTGTTAATTTAACTGATTTCAATTAAGATTATCTGAGTTAAAAGTACTTGCTGGCTTGGATGTATAAAGAAAAAGTAAAGATATTTGGAAGGAACATCTGCAGTTTCATGGGGACTGGAAATAAGCCAGAAGGTTTAAAAGGTCGGCTTGGAGCATATTTGCAATGGTAGTGATGTAGTCAGGAGTACTTTGAAACAATTAAAAGTCTGTTGGGTCACTGACAAGGGAACATATTGTATACCAGCCACACGCCAATAAATACAAGCAGTCTGTCTCCCAAGCACTGCCAGAACACACTGTTACACCCATACAGCTGAATGAGCAAGGAGCCCTAAATCAGCCTAAACGCCTGACAATCTACAGCGGCTTCCACCCAGCAGCTCAACCCACTGATCCTTAATCAGGGAATGGCTGACGGTTTTAGAGCACACTTCACATAAGGGCATGTCTCCACCTTCTAATTTTAGAGGAAGAGGCATCAAAATACCCAGACTGTCTGTAACTAGGACAACAATCACTTCCTTATATTTCTCCTGAAAGAGCTGACTCTTCTACGAATGTCACAGCGTTGGATAATTGGTATCGGCTGATGCTATGATACGCTGGTCATGGACAGCAGTACTTGGACAAATGACACAATTCAGTGTGGTGAAAACCAACATGCTTACTGACTTCCAAGATTTCCCAAGCTGGACCAGCCCCTCTCTTCCTATGGAGAAGAAAATGGTGATGATATTTCACTACAAATTTTGAGAAAAAAAATTCAAAATCTTTGAAAATTTTTGACCACCTCTACTATTTAATAATTATACTCTCTGTAATTGTAAAGTAATTTCTATAGACGTTTGCAGCCAAATGGCATGAATCTGCAATGATCAATCCAGACAGTTAACTGTGTCACCCATACACTACAGTGTGGGCCTGATTCTCCTCTGATACCAGTGTATTTCTACTGATTTAGATTTATACCTGATTTACAGAAATCAGAGCAGAATCAGCTCCCAATAATAATCATCCCTAGCTTTTAAATAGCACTTTTCATCAGTAGATCGCAAAGTGCTGTTCAAAGGAGGTCAGTAGCATTATCCCTATTTTACAGATGGGGAAACTGAGGCATAGAGCAGTGACATGACTTTCCCAAGGTCACCCAGTAGGCCAGTGACAGAGACAGGAATAAAACAGAAGTACGTTCCAGTTCAATGCTCCATCCACTAGGCCACACTATAGTATCATGTATAGTTCATGTGGCCAGATATATAAGGGTATGTCTACACTGCATACTGAGCCTGGGTTGGGACCCGGGCTTGTGGACTTGGCGTTCCCAACCCTGTGCCTGAGTGTCCACACTGCATTGTAAACCTGGGTCTGTAATTGCTGGACCTGGGTCTCACAGCCATGCTAACATGGACATACTACACTACGCAGACCTTCTGACTGGCGTCTGTGGCTTGACCTGCATCCACACTGCAAAAGGTCAGGGCTTGGACCTGGACTCAGACTCGAACCCACCCCCCAGAAGGGTCCTAGGACACAAGTCCTGAGGGCTTGGCTAACCCAAGACAGACTGATTTGTATGTGGACGGAAGTGGAGTTTGGTCTGAAACCTGAGTTTGGTCAGAAACCGGTCTGAGTGTGCAGTGCAGACATACCCCAAGAGTATGTCTATATGGCAAAAACACCCAACAGCAGCCAGTCTCAGAGCCCAGGTCTATAGACTATGGCTTGTGGGGCTTGCACTCCAATGCTAAAAATAGTCGTGCTGACATTTGGGCTCACACTGGAGCTCGGGCTCTGAAATCCACCCCTCTCCGCAGGCTTCAGACCCCCAGCTCCTGCCGAGCTGCAACAGATCCATGGCTATTTTTAGCACCATCGCACGAGTCTGAGTCTGTAGACTCAAGCTCTGAGACTTGCTGCCACTGGGTTCTTTTTGCCATGAAGACATACCCGAAAGTATTCACATGGTTATTTTCAGCAGCAAACAACCGATGAAAAATAACCCAGTTTTGAAGTGCGGAAGTCTTTTCTGAGAAAGTGTCTATTCAGAACAACTTGCAAGTGCTGGATCGGGCTGCATCTGTTAAAGCTCTGCTTTGCATTGCTTCCCCAACGTTCTCCTGAAGGTCTGAAACTGCTGCTGGACTGTTGTCCCAGTTTACACTGTTCCCCACAAATATAACAGCATGTTAGCTACATTCACAGTAAAAAGCAACAGAGGGTCCTGTGGCACCTTTAAGACTAACGGA